CTGCAAATGTTTATGCGCTTTCAATTTCAAAGGGAAATCATTTCTGAAGAGTGTTATCAATTAACCATGGATTAGTAGCAATCAGGATATTATTTCATGAGCCAGGGTTAATTTCCTTGAGTTATGCTGTTAGAATTGTGAGTATTTTGTCTGAGATGCTGTTGGGAATATTTCTATTCATTGAGAAAATGTGTTTTTGCGATTTTGGATATTGTTTCTTAATATACAATGTATGGATGCAAATGGATTTGTATGATCTTTTAGGGGTGGGCAGACGTGTGTAGGAGAACTATGTCTTGTTTTGGATTCTCAATCCCTGTAGCTCTTATACTTATGACTAGCAAGACTGGGAAGATTGTTTTGAAGGACTACATCGATGATTATGGATTCCTGGATGATAGTTTAAAATATGAGATTGCCTATCTTGCAAAAGGTTTTGGTGATTTAGGTTGTTCTTTTCGAAAAAGGAACAAATATATGTTATATGGTTGCTTGTCTACTTGATTTTGGCATGAGATTAGTGGCGGCAAGGAGTTGTTTTAGGGCAATTTGGAGTGGGTGTCTCAGCTAGGAGAGTTATGGGTGCATGGCAGCAAGATCTTTATTTTTCCATGTCACCGTATACTTACTCTGGTGGCCTTTCTTTTCCTCTATTCCTTGTCATAAGCAGAAATGGACTCCTTGTATGCTACTGCTCCACTATGGTCTCTTTGCCTCTGCTCAATTTGGTTTTTCCTCTGTTTTACTAGTAGGAGGTCTCTCCTCGGAGGTGTTGTGTTGCTTTGCACAACTAGCTAGTCTCAACTCCTTAGTTCCTCTCTATGGTGCTATATTTCAGATGACTAAAGGTGAAGTAGATACGTTTTTCAAACAAAGCCTGTTATTAAGAGGATGTACAGCTCCTGGCAGGAGTTCCCCCTCTTGTCTCATTTTTGCAGGATTTTATTGGGATATTTTGGTTTTTTGTTTTTGTTCTTGCTTTGTTTAAGTGCTATTTTTCCTCTTCTGGTTTGTGTTTTTTGTCCAAGACTTTTGCATGGATCTTTTATTTAGTTTATTGGACAAATTCTTTATTTGCACCATGAATATTATTATTTTTTATTTAAGATCTTCTGAAATTTTTACTTTCAGTTTACATTTCATAATTTGAAACCTATAAAAAATCTCCAAATTAGCAATTAGGTCACATGCAACTCAGGGTTTTGACTACAAAATATAATAAGAGCAGTGCTTGGGGCACTCGCCTTTTGCACTCTCTGCCCAACACTTCCCTTTTCATTGGGCCACGTAAGCTTGTTTCCAGCTTTGCTGGGCAACCTCTTACCAACCAGAATAATGTGGCTCAATAAAAGTGGAAGTGTTGGCTGGAGAGTGCAGGAGGCGAGTGCCCCTAGCACTTCTCGTATAATAATATCTATGGTGTAAATAAGAGGACTGACCTACTTTATATATAAGTATGTTGGCAAAAAATAAAAATAAAAATGGGGGCCTGTAAGTTCATATGAAGCTAGAAGCCATATTTGGTTTGTGGCAATAGCTATTTTCATTTGTTTCTCTTAAGATATATTTAAAGTTTTTTGGTAAAAGGGGGGAGATACAACTACAAAGGATCAAGGGGGTCTAACATACTGAACCCCATAGGCATTCGCAAGGCATAAACCAACAACAGCTGGTGGACAAAATTCAAAAATACAAAAAGAAGAAGAAAGCGACATCCCCATTTTTGCCAGCTGATTTGCACACATATTGCGTTCACGCACAATGTTGACCAAGTGTATCTGATGAATTTTCTGCATGAGCATCTTGCAATCAAGAATTAAAGTGCTGTGAGGGTGAGTGGAAACACAACCTTTCGTGAGAAGAAGGACAACAACCTTTGAGTCACTTTCCACAATTAAATTATGGAAGCCCTTTTGGATGGCCAAAACAAGACCATCTCTTATGGCCCATAACTCAGCAGCAAGAGGGGAAGAGAAACCAATATTCCTAGCATAACCAAGAACCCAATTGCCTAAAGAATCCCTAAAGATACCCCCAGACCTAGATAAACCTGGGTTTCCAATGAAGGAACCATCGGAGTTAAGCTTGATGGTGGGAAAGTGCGGTTTAGACCAAGCAAACATCTCGTGAGTTCTTTGGTGGAGGCTTTGGGGAATCTGGTGAGAGGACCAAAATTCAATGGCCTTAAAGCGGATAGAGTTACAAAAGGTTTGTGTGTTAATATTCTCATGTCGGTATAAGACATGATCTCTGAAAATCCAGATTCCCTAGATAATAAAGGAAAAAAGTGTGCCCCATGCAACAGGAGTGGTCAGAGCATCGTCGAAACGTGTCGAATTGTTACGTAACCATTGCAGAAATGGAGTGTCATCATTAGACACTATAGCTCCAGGGAGAATGTCATTCCACAAAGAAATAGCTGGAGCAGGTCCTGAAGATATGGTCGATGGTCTCATCATAACTTTGGCATCTGGGGCATATAGAGGATGAACATATACCCAGGCATTGAAGAAAATTAAGAGATTTTAATCTCTTATGGGAGAGGAGCCAAAGGAAATGTTGAATTTTTGGTAAGGTGTTAGTCTTCCAAACTCAGTTCCATTCATTGACACCTTTAGAAGGAAGCTCAAGCAGCAAACAGTAGGCCGAAGATGAGGAGAAGTTTCCGCCTTGGCCATGAGCCCAAGTAAAAATAGCAGTATCCAAATTTTCAAGGGACAAAGGTATAGCTCTAATCTAATCCCAAATGTTCTGGGGAAGGTGGTAAGATATGGTGTGAAGGGAGAAGCTTTCCAGAGCATGAGAAAGTGAAAGAGAATTTGAATGAGGAAGGTGTGGACCAGCTAAGACCTCAGACAATGGTCGATCGCCACACCAATAATCATTCCAGAAGCTAATAGCATTGCCATTACGAGGAATCCATTTCAACCCTTGTTGGAAAAGAGTACGCCCTTCTTGTAATCCTTTGATGACAGGGGAGCTAGCAGTGGGTAGGGGGGCCCGGGGATCCATGATAGAGTATTTATAGCAGAAGATTTTTGACCATAGCTTATCCTTCTCAATGTGAAGCCTCTAGTTTAGTTTACACATAGAAACAATGTTAGTTTCCCGTGAACTTTTAAGCCCAAGGCCACCCAGGCGCTTCGGAAGACAAATAGTTCTCTAGTTCACTAAGTGAATTTTCTTATGATGTTCATCAGAGCCCCATATGAAGTTGCGTGAAATTTGGTCCAGCTCTCGATGAATAGAGGTAGGCAGAAGGGAGGACTGCATGTAATAATTTGGGACAGCTTCCAGAACGGACTTGGTGAGGGTAACTCGACCTGCAAAGGATAAGAAGTTAGTCTTCCAGTTAGTAAGTTTCTTACGAACTTTATCAACAATAAATTGGCATTGTGTTTTCTTAAGTTTTCTATGAGATATGGGGACACCCAGATATTTCCCCAAGTCCTTGGTTTTAGATATGCCAAGCATAGAGCAAAGAAGGTCTCGAGTAGGAGGATCCACATTATTTGAAAACAAGACCCGAGACTTTTGAAGATTGATTTTTTGGCCAGATCTAGAGCAGAAGAATTGGAGCAGAGAGCTAAGATAATTGCAGTTTTCTTGGGTGGCTTTGCCCACAAATATGATATCATCTGCAAAAAACAAGTGAGATAAAAGAGGCCCCCTACGACCAGCTTTGGAGCCTTTCAAAAGACCTGCATTCATGTCAGTAGAAATCTTAATAGCCAAAAATTCCATGCAAAGAATAAAAATATAAGGGAAAAGGGGATCTCCCTGACGAATGCCTCTTGAAGGAGTGATGAAATCAGACCGATCACCATTTATAATAATAGAAATGGTGGTAGTGCAGACACAAGACATGATAAGTTTAATAATGGAGGGAAGGAAGTTAAAAAAAACAAAGGGCCTCACGGATAAAACACCATTCCAACCTATCATATGCTTTTTCTAGATCAAGTTTAATAATAAAGTCACCTTGTGCCCCCTTTTTCTTGGTGAAGGAGTGAACCAATTCCTAAAGAATCAGCACATTGTCACACCTTTGGCGCTCAGGGATAAAACTAGATTGGCAAGGAGAGATAAGTTTATCCATCCAAGGTTTGAGCCTATTAACAAGGATTTTAGACACTACTTTGTAAGTAGTGTTGCACAAACCAATGGGCCTAAACTCTTGGATTGAGATCGGAGAGGTATTTTTAGGGATAAGAACAACTAAACTTTCATTCCAGGAGGAGGGAATAATCCCGTTGGAGAAATTTTGAATAATATCAGTACAAAGTTTATCCTTAGTAATATCCCAAAACTTCTGAAAGAATAAAGGGTGGACATCGTCAGGTCCAGGAGCTTTAAAGGGTTTGATGGAATGTAAGGTGGCCCAAATTTCATCCTTAGTAGGGACACCCTGGAGGGACTCAAGGGGGATGGCCCGAAGGGAAACATCAATACTTGCAAAAGAATCAGAGTACGAGAGCTCATGCGAGGTGGTGAACAAACCAGAGAAATAGTTCATAATGAGAGTAGATAGTGCAAGAGGGTCAAAGATCCAATTGCCAGTGGAATCCTTTAGACCCAAAATCCTATTTCTGGCCTTGTGACAAATAGTTGATAGGTGAAAAAATTTTGTGTTACGATCACCCTCAATCAACCAATTAGATCTCGACTTCATAAACCACAAATCCTCTTCCATCATAAGAATATTCTCATACTCCTTAGAAAGTTGTCTCTCAAGATCAACCAAAAAGGAGCTGTGAGGAAAAGTAGGAGCACGATAAATCCCATTGAGCCTTTTGATAATAGATTTCTTGTCCTCAAAGATATTTCCAAAAACAGTCTTGCTCCACTACTTGGAGGCAACGACAGTCAGCGACAGTCAGCGTAAGAGATTCAGTAGAATTAGTATTGGTTAGAGACCAGATGTGAGAGATGGCTTGATTGAAATCATGATGATCAAGCCAAAACTTTTCCATACGAAATGGTCTAGGTCCCATTCGAGACAGATTAGGACAGAGATCCAGCATGATGGGATGATGATCAGAATTAAATCTAGGAAGGTGATATAGATTAGCTTCCGAAAAGATAAGCCTCCAATCTGGGTTAGCCCAGGCTCGATCCAAGCGTTCCCTAATAAGTTGATGGTTATTCCTCATGTTAAGCCAAGTAAATTTAGGCCCGATATAACTAATGTCCTGCATGTGGCAGTCATTCATGCAATCAAGATAGGAACGCACCCTGCTTTGGCACACAATGCCACCCCAAATATTTTGGATTGATCGATGACATCGTTAAAGTCTCCAATAAGAATCCATGAGCAAGAGATCATTATAGAGAGATAGCGAAGTTCTTGCCAAAGCATAGTCCTTATCTCATAAACAGGTCTACCGTAAATGCCAGAAAGAAACCAAGTATCAGAGGAAAGGGAGGGATGATTGCGTACCTTAACAATGGCATGAATAGCTTGAGCATTAGTAGAAACAATGTCAAGGGTAACCTTGCTATCATTCCAAAGGATCCAGAGGCCTCCTGCTAACCCATCAGAGTCCACACAGTGAAAGTGGGGAAAGCCCAATGCCCTAGCTTTAGCAATAGCATGGTCTTCGCTAATTTTAGTTTCTAAGATCAACATGATGCAGGGGTTATGAATCCTTTTGAGATCCATAGCACTAGATTGAAAGCTTTGTTTGGCCGCACCGCGGCAGTTCCAAGATATGATCTTCATTGACCAAACACGAGAGTTATTGGCCCTGAGGAGCGTCCTGGCCAAGGCTGCATTCATGATGGGGCTTGGTTGATCTTCTGCCTTGATCATCATCATTGCTCGTGGAAAGAATAATGGGAGGAGGTATGTTTGATATTCCATCTGCTCCTTTGTTTCCAATGTCTGGTACCATCTGCAATGAATGTGGATGTTCCCCATCGGTCCCTTGAAGGTTAAATACCTTTTTTGGTCCCTCTACTATAGGAAAAAACCCTTTTTTGGTCCTTATACCAAAAAAATCTCCTTTTTGGTCCTTATTGTTCATAAATCCAGCCCTTTTTTAGTCCCTCCGTTAAATTTTGGCTGATGTAGCAGGTTAATTAACGGAAATACTCATTCCTTTTTTTTTAACTAAATTATGTGGAAAATTCATGTGGCAAAAATGATGACATGTTAAATTTTTTACCTTAATTACTGATATACCCTCATCTTTTTCCTCGGCTTCTCCTTCCTCCAACCTTTTTTTTTTTCTTTTACCTCCAGGCGAACCCAAGAGCCTGGGTTTGCGAGGAACCTAACTCACGGGTTCGTGACGAACCCAGGTCTTGGGTTTGCAACGTCTATGAAATCTCTAGCCATAAATTTGTGAGTTAGCATGCATCACTCATTACCTTTGCGCTTATAAACTCAAACAAAAAACTAATAACAATGTAGACGGAAACCCAGAACCAGACAGCATGAGAGGCACCGTTGTGGTTGCTGTTGCAAAAGATTCAATCCTGAATGAACGTCTTATGTACAACCTACATCAAGCCAAAAGTCCGGACCCTCTGGTTTTAATTTCCATTGATTCCAGCTCCGGCTCGCCCGGTGAGGTCACCGTGAATGGCGGCACACAGGGTCCAAACAAGGCTGTGGGGCTCAGGGAACTTGAAGCTTCGCTTCCTATTACAGAATCCAGAAACGGCACTATGTATTCAGCAATATTTCATATTTTATGTTCAGGAATTGGATTCCAAGCCCTCTTGCTCCCCGTGGCATTTGCAACTCTTGGATGGTACGAATTTTTACATCATTGTTTCAGATTTTCTTTTCCATAGAATCAAATTATCTTAATGAATTCAATTTTTAAAACATTTTTGTTTGGTGCAGGGGATGGAGTATTTTGTGCTTGTTACTGGCATATACATGGAAGCTTTATTCCACATGGCTTCTGGTTCACCTTCATGAAACAGTCCCCGGAACCTGCCATAGCCACTACCTCCGCCTTTCAATCGCCGCCTTTGGTTGGTCCAATTCTTTTCTCAAGTCATTTTCTTCACTTTATTCCATTATGACTAAAACGTGTATTTAATGGATTCATGTGGCCATAGATTTCATAGACGTCGCAAACCCTAGACCTGGGTTCATCACGAACCCGTGAGATGGGTTCCTCGCGAGCCCAGGCTCTTGGGTTCGCCTGGAGGTAAAAGAAAAAAAAAATGGCTGGAGGAAGAAGAAGCCGGGGAAGAAGATGAAGGTATATCAGTAATTAAGGTAAAAAATTTAACATGTCATCATTTTTACCACGTGGATTTTCCACGTAATTTAGTTAAAAAAAAGGAATGAGTGTTTTCGTTAATTAACTGCCACATCAGCCAAAATTTAACAGAGGGACTAAAAAGGGGCCGGATTTGTGAACAATAAGGACCAAAAAGGGAATTTTTTCGGTATAGGGACCAAAAAAGGGCTTTTTCGTTATAGGGACCAAAAAAGGGTTTTTTCCTATAGTAGAGGGACCAAAAATGGTATTTAACCTCCCTTGAATAACGTCGAGTGAATGTGGCAGACGAGAGGATATGCTGTGAGCTTCTAAGGCATAATAGGGGTGATGATCTCCCCGAGGCTTATGTTGCTTTTGGTAGACACGAGTTCTTGAATACAACATTGGTCGTTCTGAAAAGCTAGATCTGTTATCGGTGTTGGGAGGAGATGAAGAAAATCATTGGGAAAAAAGAGTTTGTTGACCACTAGAGGATTTCTCCAAGCTGCAAAGATCCTTGGTTTTGACCAACAAGGGGTTCTCAGAGGTGGGTAATGAAACATCTGGTTGAGGGCTTGATTGAATGGAATCAGATCTCCATTGGATAGTAAGAAAATTTCCCACAGTCAAATGTGTGGGAAGAAGGGTGGGGTATTCATCGGACTGAAAGGGGAGAGGGGTCGAAGAGAAGGAAGCCGGGGGTTGTGAGATAAAAGGAGTAACAGGGGGGTTGGGTGAGGGAGGGGGTTGGATGTTGGGGAAGACTCCATCGGGGATGCAAGTTGGGTGGGTTTGCAGACATGCCAAGTGTGGGGATGGGCTTGGAAGTATTAACAATGTTAGTGGATTTAGGTTTGTAAACTTGGGCCTTGGGTGGGCCAATGGGTGGGCCAATGGGTTTAGGAACCGAACTAGGAGAAGGCTGCTTATGAGGGACCTTGTTGGCAGACTTGGAAGTGGGTTTACTGGAAATAGCTAGGAGGAGTGAAGGGTTGCTATGGGAACTACCAGTAGCCGTTATAACGGCTTTCTCATTAAATGCTTCTGACACTTTCCCGTTGGCTTGAATGGATTTTGAACCTTGTGGACCAGTTGGGCCTTTCAAACTATGCTTGCGGGTTGGGGCCCCAAGTTCATTCTTGTCCATTGGAATGTGGGAGTTAACTAACGTCGATGGTTCAGGTTTATCGGAATTACTGTACTTACGATTGTTTCGACGAGGTTTCCTCCTTTCAACAAGCATCCAAGGCTCGTACTGATCAAGAACTCTATCACTCAATTGGAGATCCATAGAATCTTCAGAGGTACTTGGGCTGGGTATATGGGAATCTGAATGAAGCCTGTTATCTGAGCCATTCTCATCGGAGGATTGACACTGTCTGCTATCCTTAATATTAATGCTTTGGGAGGAGGTGGCTTTATGATGGACAGAGAGGCATTGATTTCGTCTATGGCCGATACGGCCACAGGAGAAACATAAAGCATCCACACCCTCATAAACCACTTTTTGAAATTTCTTGCCAATTCTAACTGAGTGAACAAGTTTCATCCCCAAGTCAACTTGAGCACACACACGAGCATATTGTCCTCGTGTATGGTGTGCTGTATGGGCGTCTACTCGAAGAAGGGTACCAATTTTGTTGCCGATTTTCTCAAGAGTAATGGGATCATAATGATCTGCTGATAAATGTGGCAACCTAGCCCAGATTGCGGTAGTGGAGAAAGTAGCTGACATAGGATCAAAATTGGGTTCCCAACGCCGAATGGTGAGATAGTAAGGGCCCACGAACCATGGTCCTCCAAATATTACCCGCTTCAGATCCTCTTCATCCTGTAAGCGAACCAAAAAGAAGTCATTCCCAAGATCAATGAAGTCCCATTTACCCAATGGTTTCCATTGAGCTTTGATACGCGGATACAGGAAGTTGTAGCCAACTGGTTTGGGAGCAAATGCCTTAATAATCAGAGAGTTAGCCCATGGTTCCCTGATGCGCCTCTTCTCTGCTTTAGACAACAGTATAATAGGCACCTCATTCTCCGGATCATCGTCAACGTCTGAATCTTCCTCCAAGTAGCTTGGGATAGTGGCAAAGGAGATGCCTGATGATTTCTCTTCTAAAAGAAGTTTATCACGATAAGATAACGGTTGTAGATGGTTTGCCGGCTGAGGCTGAGGCTGAGTTTGAGGGGCATCCATTAGAACATCAAATTGGAGAGCAATTGTGGGTGCAGGAGCACTACCTGCATTATCAGACATGGTAGCATCTTGAATAGGTGCAGGGGGAGGGTCCTCCTTGATTCATTTGATACTGCGAGCAAGGAGGTCGGCTTCCTGACTATTAGGTGCGAGAGAATTGGGAGAGTTGGCAGAGTCCATCGGCTTTGTTATGTACTTGCTGTCAATTTAGATATATATATTTAAAGTTTGCAAAGCATCTTCCAGGGTTTTGAGCAATTGATAACCCCTTGCGTGAAATTCTGTCCCTCAAATTGACGGATGGTGAGCGACAATAACCTAGTTTGTGCAATTTCTCTAGTTTCTTGACTACAGAGGAGAAAAAAAAAATGAGATTATAAACCAAACAGATCAAACTTCATATATCCTTGACCGAAATCTAGCTGAATTAAAATCGTAAATTCTAGTTAGAAGCATTCTTTTCTCAGACAATTAAACACTCAAACACTTCAAACTTAATGCACTTGTAGCTTTGCTGTTTTTGGTTTAGGTGCATTAAATTCTTGACATTTGTTAAAGTTTCATCCGACGCAATAGCAATTAAATTATTTTCATTTCTCCACGTTCTCCCATGTTAAAAAAAAAAAAACACTTCAAACTTAGTATTAAACTCCACAAATTAGCCATACATTGTTCAAATAAAGATTTAAGAGCACGCCTAGACGATAATAGAGCTGACCATAATTTAACACAAGGAGCAATGTTCCTCCCACGCATAAAATACACAAGGTGAAAGAAAATCTTGTTTGTGTCCTAAGTAGGCTTGATCTCCACGCCTTGAATGATTACACCGCGCTTATCGCATGAAGCGGACCCCTGAAGACGTATTTCCAAATCTCCGCCTCTTTCTTTGGTGAATTCAATTTCACCCAATCCTACCTCAAACCAATTATCTCCCCTCTTTTCCGGGTACGGATAACCATTTCCTACAATTCCACTTTCTGCCTGCAAGTACACCTCTTGCCTTGAAGCAAAACCACTTGGAGCAGTTGTAGACAGAGAAGCTGCTATACATGTATTTCTAAATCCATCGTTTCCGTCTGCCGGCTTGAACACAAGGTACACCTTATAACGTGTTTTTGGAGAAAGCATGCGAGTATTAATACTTCCATGGATTTCAAACCAAGCAGTAGAAAGAAGCTCTGCAACCTCAGGGAACCTGTTTTGAAGCATGAATTAGAAATATTCTTATGATCACAAATTTATTTATTTTAG